GCGTAGACATGCTGTGCATGAGTATTGATGTAGAAGGTGGCTTCCCTGTTGAAAAAAAACGCTTTAGACGTGCTACTGTGTAATGGGATGGGTTCAACTGTGGATACTCGAAAAGTAGAAGATTCGATGTCTCTGGTTGAGGCTTTGAAAGTAGAAAATCTTCCCTGTGTTGAGGAATCGTTGCTCGAATGGGTCGTCTGCGCGAGTGAAAGTTTCATAGGCGTCTGCTCGATAGTCGACTGTTTCGACGTGATTGGTCCTGAACTTGATGGTTTATCGGATTTCACTGACAGTGTCTTTGATGAAAACATAACGGAAGAGTGTGTTGTATTTACACGCGGAAGGTTCGTGGACGCTGTCGATTCTATTGTTCGCGTCTCCGAGGTGTTTAATCTTCTGGTTGATGATTCAACGCTTTCTGTCCAGCGTTCAGACGTGGAAGGTGACTTGACCGTTGTAGAAAGAACAAATGAGTGAGTCGTCTTAGCGATCTGAAGTTTCTTAGACGGCACCTGCTCCGTCGCTGCTGAAGTTGAAATGACATGTATTGAGCCTGATAATTGAACACTTTTTGCAGACGTGTCTGGGTTAGAAGAAAGAGGGATACTTGAATGGGTCGTTTGTGCAGCTGAAAGGTTTGTGGACGTCATCATATCGACTGTTGATGTCAGAGAATCTGTTCGTAATGATGTGACAGTTTTAGGTGACGTCTGATAAGCAGAAAAGTTTTTGCCTGTTGATGAACGTATACTTGAGTGAGTTGTCTTCAGAGATGGAACATTGCTGGTTGTCGCTTGCTCGGCTGTTGACATCATCATTGTGGTCAGCAGTGAACGGGAAGATTGGGGAGTCCTTAGTGAAGTTCTATCTGTTTGATATGATTTCTCTGAGGAATAGGAGACTGATGGTTGTATCGTCTTAACAGACAGATATTTGCTTGACGTCGATGGCTCTACAGGTGACACTGTCGAAGTGGCCAGTTCTGGGTTCGATGAAGGAACAATCTCGCTCAAAGCTTGAGCTGTATGAGGTTGTTCATCTGTTGACATGTGGACCTTTGAGTAGGTTACATCAACAGATGGAGCTTTCGTAGACATAGACGTAGTTGACACTTTCAAAGTGGTGGGCCGCTGAGTACGTAGTGGAACTGTCGTAGTGGTAGGCTCCGTTGTAGAAGAACTAATGGGTGGTTGAGTCGTCGCAACAAACAGTTTGGTGGAAACCATTGGCTCGACCGTTGGCATTTTCTAATTAACAGACTTTGAACTAGATGGTTGAATGGTTTTTCTTGAAGTCTCATTAACATGTGGCTCATTTGTTGAGGAATCTACGGATGAGTGACTTCTCATATGGAATTCTTGTAGGTATCTCTTGGTCTACCGTTGATGTTTTCCCGGTTTCAGGCGTTTGACTCGAGATTTTAACGGTTTTCACTAAGGATTCTGGTGTTGAGGATGTCTTCTTTGTTGAAGAGCTCACGTTTGAATGTGTTGTCTTAACGGATGGAATTTCACTAGTCGTATGTGTTTCGACCGTGGACTTCTTCGGAGTGGCCGGCATTGAATCAGTCTTAACTGAGGTTGCTGAGGTAAACGATAGTTTGGAACTGGAGGGTTGAACGGTTTTGAATGAGGTTGCAGAAGCTGTGGATCGCGTCTCTGCTGAACTTCGTACAGCAGAGTGAGTGGTCTGAACAGATGATAGCCTCGTGGTCTCTGAAGCTCTGGTTGATTTGAAGGTTGTAGGAGTCGTTGATGCCCTTTCCGTTTGGCTTGTAGTCGGCGCGGCTACCGTTTAAGTTTCTGATGAATGAACTAAAAAACGCAATTGATGAGTGATTACGAATTTATTAATGTTAATAGTAAACTTTTATGGTGGATAACACCATTGTGCATCCTATCTAGGATGTTGATATTTTGTAAAAGCTTTCATATCTGAACAATAGCATGAGTCACGAAAGATCGAATCGAAAGTTTTACCCAGCAGTATAGTCCATTACAGGTATGAGATTGATTGCCTTGTATAATTTTGAATAATCAGGGCGGTTTGCAACAAACGCTGCAGAAAAACTTCATTAGTATTACTGTAATCAATGTTTCTTTGACGCACAACCGAGCGATCCATTTAAAGATTAGAGGCGTGGACGATTGGGTGACAGAAGGTTTAACTTTGATCTTCAGTGCATGATTTGTGAATAGAACTGTCGATACTCTTGCGAAACGCACAGTCTTCCGTATCCGTATCCGCATAACAATCCTCATTGCATCGGTTTTGTACAGCACTTAGTCGGGAGACCGCTTAAGGTGAACAGAAAAACGCCCCATGTACATCATAGCTGTCGAAAACTTTAACGGTGGTTGCACTACTGGCATCGTTATAGGTGGAAAGCACCCAACTATGTTTATTCACGGAAAACTGCTCCATCTTCGCTTCGCGCAAGTCACAATGGAACCCTGATAGAAGTTCTTAAAATCCCCATGATGGAATTGGAAATTAACTTGTCCAAGACCAGAGATTGGGAACTTTTTTTACGAATTACCCTAAAATATATTTATTTACACCGACATTACCCCCTTGACTTTAAAGGGAAAAAATCATCGACTATGTAAATTCAAAAGGTTTATTGAATCTGTTAATACAGAGAATAAAATTATAATTATAAAATGTTTAAAATAAATGCGATAAATTAAACTGACATCCTCATCATGAAACAAATTTTTTTGAAATCTTTTTCATTTCAGATTTAAAAAAATGATGTTGCTTCATTTTCAATACAAAAACTTCAAAATTAGGGCATTTCAATGTTCGGGCAGCTCGGGTACTGTCCAATCAATTTTCCTAGCAACCGTTGTTATGGGTGATAATATGCAAATCTGCAATATCTTCTGGCCTTTTAA